CTATATTTATATTTATATCTATATCTATATCTATATCTATATCTATATCTATATCTATATATATTTACAGGCGAAGAGTCTTCTTTGAAACACTCTCTAGATCATTCAAAATTAAGTGTTTTAATCATGATAAGCTCTCTAGTTTGACATATTGCAGACTATTTGTTAGTTCGAGAGATCTTTGCCAATACAGACAGAGCTTTTTGTGCTCTTGAACGCAGCCGTCTAAATTCTTTGATATGCCACCATAATCAGATTATGACAGATCCAGCAGAGTCTCAGTGTTCAAAAAATGTGTTGAGAGCTTGGTTCTACAATGCCGGGAGAATAAAAAACCTTAAATTGTTGATTGAGAGAAAAAAGGAATTTGTATGCTGAACCAATCATATAATATCCGAATAATTCCTACTTCAATCAATTCTGCCATTATTTTCGAAAAATTCTTTAATCGATTTATTGATATATTGTTATCGATTATGCACATACCCACAGTAAGTTGCACCGCCAGACTCTCTATCACTCTTGGCCTGCCGTCGCATCGCGCTAGACGAGTTTGACACTTTTCATTTTCGTTTAAATTTCACTTATGTCTTAATTTGTCCCATTTTCAATTGCCAGTCAACGCACTTACACATCTACAAATGTGCGTACACACATACACATGCATACCTACACACAAAAATTCTCTCGATATTATTTGGTTATTTTGTTTCTAATTTGTAACGCAATTTTTATCGCATAAATCACTTGACATGAATTCTTGGCAACTTTACACATGACAACACACACACACACACGTATATGCCTGTGAACAATTTTTTACGCCAACATATTACAACAAATAAATATTACACACAATCTCACGAACACTTTTGCGAGCTGGAAAAAAAACTTTTCCTAATTTCTTGAGTTTTCTCACGATTTTTTTGACAATTTTCCGTCTTATTTATAATTTATTGACGTTTTGCCGATGCGCCGCTTTCTTGCTGCGGTGCTTATTTTTAGCTCGTGCCTATTTTTTTTCTTCTACATTTCCCTGCGCTTGGAGTTTTTTCTGCCTTTGGCTGGAAAATTATGTGCCCCAAAAATATCTTAATGGTTTTTAATTAAAAATATCATAACTTTATCGTCAAGACAATTTCGTGAGTTTAACTATACTAACCTACATATGGTACATATTATACCTATATATAATAAGTATTCAGTATGTATTTACAGATAAAACAAATTACGGAGTCTACTGGGTGCATTAATTGAAAACGGTTGTAATACTGATGTAATAGTACCTTTTATGAAACTGTCTCTGTTATATTCATAAACACTTTGTTTTAATTTAAGCCATTGATGAAGTACGGTACTGGATTTTTCCAAGTAATTTAAGATTATTTGACGGTTAATTATAAATTAGGGGGCAATGCTTCCTTAATTTAATAACAACCAATACCTACTTTTGAAAAACTAGAAATGCATGAAAAAATATTTTTCTATCAAGACATAATTTAAAATTTGGAAGATGTCTCTAATACGCCAACTACATATTAGATGCATCGCAAAAATAAAGTTTGGAAATAATGATTAAAAGTTAGCACTATAAATCTAAAATAGTTCACATAGAAATCGTTTTAAGTATCGATAATACTGTATTGGTTAGAACCGAAGCACTGTGCGAATAACATGTGACCAATGAGATGATCGAAATGAGTTCCAACAGGAAAAAATATCTTTTCTCGATTACTTAAGAGCTCTTCATTTAATTGAGCTCGGCAGGGACCGTTTTGTACAAATCATTCATCATATCTTTGGTTCACACTCATTGCTTCGAATTTTTTTTACTATCGCATGATATTTGAAATTCTTTGCAACTGATTTTCGAATCCTATTAGAGAGCATCTTTATCTGTAGTTCTGTAATAACTTCACCAAAGATTTGGTTAGAGATGTTTCTACCTTGTTTCTCATATGAGCAAAGGCTCTTTGAACAATGAGTCCTCGTCATTATTCTGCGGAATTTCATAACAAATGTAAAAAGTTGCCTACAGTTAGAAAGCTAAGGAATTAATGCGCGTTATTGGAGCAAAATTTTGCAAAAATGGTCCTCTTGCAGCCAGTTGATAGGAAAGTTTCGCAAAGGATCAGATCTGGAGAAAACTGTTCTTATTGTGAACTTTTTTGTTATTTTCTGTCATAGCAGTCACTTTTTTACGTTCAAAGAATTCAGTTTGTAGTCCGAACTGGCCGCACTGTTTACAACTTTAGCTACAATATTTATGCCATAACATAATGAAGAATACGACAATAGCTGAATACGAAATTTCTCTTTGTAAATTTGCCGGTATAAATTCGGCAAATGCACCAATTTTCGGTATCCAATCGTTCTAAACATATCTATTATTGAGTATTAAACCCCAATCAATGCATACATTGAAACATTTCTACTAAAAGTGTTCGAGCAAACAAACCCGTTAACATTTGTTCATGATTGTTGTTGTTTTGTCATATGTTACGCCATTTGGTCACATGTGTTACGAGTGTTGTCTGAGATTCGCTTTGTTGCTAAATACTAACTGTATACATACTCTTGCTCAGCAATAGCCGTTGCGATGCATGTTTGCATGCGGTTTTACTGCCAACGATTCCCCACTTCAAATACACACACAGCACACAAATGCATATACAAAGAGATATTTATGCGCTTGTAAACATTCAAATACATACACGATTGGTGTCTGCTTTTCTCCGCGCCTAGCGTTAACTACATGCCACTCCGCCCCATCCTTCTCTCTCATCCTCAGCATCCACTTCAATTTGATTGCCTTTTGTTTACTCTTAAATCGTCGGCTTGTTTATTTGCTTATTTGATATTTCCTCATTTTTTCCACAACATTCACATAAGCGAGCAGCTTGCAACAGGCTGCAATTGCAGCAATGTGGCAAGTAGGCGAGCAAAATGATGCATCGTTAATGTTTTCATACTTTGATTGCTCTTCAATGAGCAGGAAACGCATTGGATGTGTTGGATGCGAATCAAAAGTTGAGTCGAAAAAAGGGTTCAAAGCATTTGCGTGGTTGTTTTTGTGTTGTTGTTGCTGCTATTTTTGCATCCAGTTTGCACTGCATACCTACATTCATTTGTTCCTTATAACAGTTGCATTGCTTTTAATCAATTGATAATTCCTTTGTTGTTATTGTTGCTTGTTTATTTGCCTCGTTCAATTATTTAATGAGTTCGAAGGAAATGCAGTGAAAAGGTTTATAAGCTGCTCTCGATGATGTTGAGAGGTCTCTCATTTCACTGTGAGAGAAGTGTGTACTTTCATACAGATGTAAGGTTAGTATGTATTTGTGAGTTCTTTTCAATTTTATTAGAAAAATTCTTTTGTAATATGTGTTTCAATACTACTTTCATGCCCTCGTTATAGAATTCTATGAACAAGAGGGTATAAGATTCACTGATATTGCTAATAGAACAGTTCCTTTGAAGCAATACAAATAATTATCAGCAGGTAAAGAATCGCGGCAAGTTACCACCATGAAGAGTCTAGTTAAGTTCGCAGAATTTTTAATTTTAGAAAAACCCTTAAATTTTCCTCCGCAACAATAAACTATAGTTAACACTAAAATGTTTGGATTTTATTATATTAAATATACAACTGCTAAGTTTTACTAAAAATTAAGTGCTCAAATTTTAACTGAATTTTTTTTGTAATTTCGAAAGATATTTTCACGGTATCTCAGTAACCAAAAATAAAAGTTCTTCAAGGGCAATGCATTATTTCATCGTGCTAGTATTTCTGTACCGAAAATATAACTGATATCTTCCAGATTTCTCTGAAGTCACAAAATATTTTTTGTGAGTATTTAATTGTCTAAACATGTTTTAAAAATATTTGATTAAATTCAATAACTTTTAATTCGGACTCGAACACTTCAAGCTTTGTGTAGCCAACATTCGGCTGATGGGGGTGTATTATGACCTTCCAGCAGTAAACCATAACAACTTTTCACCATTTCTTTATGATCGTACCCACGACTTATCGAATAAGCCTCTGTCCGCAATTTCAATTAATAAAATTAAAAAACTTTCGAGTACCAGTATTTATATACTATTATATATATATATATATATTACTTCGAAACTTATCTTTGTTATGCTTTTTCAGATACTCCATAAAGTATATATAAATAAAATTATCAGCGTGACTAGCCGAGTTGATTTAGCCATGCCAGTTTGTTCGCCTATCCAACAGTCCACCTATCCCCTTAGTTTTTGAGGTATCAATCAGAAAATTTGCACATGTCCTCTTGTTTCCAAAGTGCAACGCATTTGTCGAAATCGCCGATACCAGACCATAACTGCATACAGTTGCCATAGAGACTAATCGATCGAAAAAAATTCTTATTCAGAAAACTTTTTCATTTGACACTACAAGTATATCTCTACGAAATTTGGCACAGAGTTTTGCCCAAAACTATGCTGTATAAACTGCGAGCATACTGTTCAAATCGGACCACTTTAGCATACAAACTGATCGTTCCAACTCAAGATAACGATCTTTTTATACCCTTTTAAGCTTTAAGAAATTCACTAGTGAAAGGTATTTTAGTTCCAGTATAACCGAAGTAATCGTTTATTCTTTTCTCTTTTTTTTAATATCGTCTGGTGAATATTTTTCATAGGTAGAAAGATTACTAATAATAGAAGAGTACCAACTAAAACAATTTTCGGGAATTGCCGCTCAGTTTATTTACTCGATAAAAATCAATTAAGCCGCAATTAATTGCTGCCAAATTTCAAACTAACCAAATATTTTCACAAAACTGAATGAGTTTCTGCTTCGAAGTCATTAAAATCAACTCAAAGGCAGGAACATCAATCAAAAGAGGTACCCTTTGGCGACACAAAAATATATTTTAACGCGTGCAGGCATTCATAGCTACAACCTATTTATTTCTACGACGCATATTTATGGCAACTAATATTAAGTTTTTATGATTTTTCAGGTGTACGCAACACGAGGTCAAAAATTACATGACGGTCTGCCAACACAACAAGAAAGACGATTGCGTGCAAAAGGAAATTAGCTCAACAACTGAAATTACCAAGTTTGGAAGTCTGAGAATACGCCTAGCCGCACACAGCATGCTTCCAGCGCAACATGAGTTTTTGCTTGGCAACATGTTGCTAGGCGCTGTCGGCAACAAAACAGCAATGCTGACGATGACGGCGTCGTGCTAAGCGAAGTGGAAGTCCCAAGTAACAGACAGGAAAACCAACAAACGAAGCGGCGAACGCGTGAGGGTGTGAGCGCGCCTGCATATATGTGTGTGTATGTATGTGTGCGTCTGTAGGCAGCGAAGTGACAACATTTTGAGGGCGCGACAAGCAACAGCCACAGACTCAAAGTAGCTGGTGGTGTTGGAGCGCAGCTGACTGGATGTGTAGAGCTGGCTGGCTGGCTGGCTAGCGGTAAAGTGGCGTTCGTGCTTGCTCGTGCGGTTAGTCGTATGCTTGACAGTTCCGAAGCGGGTTTGTGTTAACGGAAGAGCGCAAAGTACAACAGATTTCGTATGTGAACAATTATGGTACTTATGAAAAACGAAAGATTGTCGTGTCAATTTCGTATGGCAAAAAATAAACTACAGAGTGAACCAAGTGTTTGAAAATCTTTGTGAAGCAACCTAACGGTACAACGTATTTTAAATGGTTGCAAGGGTGAATATTTGACTTTTTTATTAAAAATTAAAAACAGTGTTAAAAAAAGTTTAAAAATTACAAAAAAGAAGCAACAACAGAATATAGCTTCATATAATAATTTTGAACGAACAAGTTCAACAATTAACTAGTGACAAGTGTTTTGAGTGATTTTATTAAACGTGCAACACGCGCTAAAAATATTTCAAGCACTCGTATATGCATGTAACTAGTGGGAAGAGCAAACGGAAAAACGCGAATATTAAAAAAAGCAGAAACAGTAAAACAAAAGTTCAAATCAAATTGTGAATAGTGACAAAGTGTCAACGCTGCTGGTGACACTTTGTCTGTCGAGCGCAAATGCACGTATTCACGCACGCACATCAACAATTTAACGCAGCTTAACATTGCCAGCATTGCGGTTGCGGCAACTTTTACCGCTCGACTATCTCTGTGTGTCGGTCTATCCATCGCGCTGTCTGCTTGCCGTGTTCTTCGCACTTAATTAATGTCAAGTGGGCATCACTTGCATTATGCAATTTAAGGCGACAACTCGTTTCGCGTACGCCAACTGCAGCAAAATTAACAACAACAAAAGTGCCAGCAACAACAACAACTCGAGCAATTATAGCGAAAGCAACAGCAACAAGAACAACAAAAAAGCTGTCACAAAGCGTCGTGATTTCACGGTGATGTATGCACAGCTACGCGCAAAGCAACAACAACCAGAGCAACAACAAAACAAACAACTCGTGCAACTCCGCGTGGCACACAAAATGCAACTTACAACAAATACAAATACGGAAGTGAAGTGCATTTGCGCGTCACCACGCAGCAACAACAACAACCACTGCAAAACCTACAACTCACAAAGTGACGCATACACTAGCACAGCGGCGACAATAGTTTGCAACATGGCAGCTGCCACAATCCCAACAGCAATGACTGATGACAGTGGGTGTTGCAAGTATACAGGCAACAGCAATATGCAGCGTTGTGGTAAAGATGTTGATTACATTGCTGCTCCTGCCGCGGCAATGGCGGTGGCGGTGGCGATGCGAACACAATGTTGCAAGCAAGACATGCAAGACAGCCTTAGCAAGTACAATAAGAACAATCAGCATACATGTGCAGTCAACTGGAAAAACAATTTTGTGGCAAGTGAAAGTGCGAAGAAAGATTGCAAACATTCCGCAGTGATTAGAAGCAGTGGCAGCGGCGAAAATTTACTGGCAACTGCAGCACCAGCAGCAGCTGAAATTAAAACTAAAACAACTAGCATGCACAACGCATTCGACATTGGCAACTGGAAGAGCATATGCGCTATGATGCTCTTGTTATTCTGCTTTACATGGCATGGTGAGTGAAAATTTTAGAATTCATTCAAGATCACTTTCTATGTATAGGATATATGCATATCAGACACTCAGAGCGCAATTTTAGCTTAAAAAGTTTCGATAGATCTTCAAAAGTCGATTACTTGTATTTTACTCAACCGATCACAAGTTATGCTGCAATTCTCAACCGGGTAATAAAAAATGATTAATCACTATTAGGGAGCCGAATGGCTCTCATAATATTTTCTTGAAGCCGACAAATTTTTATAACCTGACCTTGATTTTTAATTTTCCAACAGTGAAAAAGTATATTTTTTCTACTTGTTTGCTTTAAGTGCCTTTGTAAGGTTATTGTGGGGAAATATTATTCAGAGAATTTCGTAATAAAGATTTATTCGTCAGAACAACCTCATAGGTTATAAATATTATACTACTACAGTAATTTAAAAATTGTTGTTAAAACGAGTTATATTATTTGCCTAGGTTGACCCCGAATATAAGATATTAACCCCAACCCAGAAAATATTACATGTCCTGTGGCATGAAAAATTATGATTCAGTTATTTCTGTGATGATTGTGGTGTAGAACAGTTTTCTTTTGTAAATAACACTAATCGATTATTTTCCATTACTCTATTAAGAAAATTCGTCTTAGTTTTTTCTGTAATAAGATTACATCACGTTTTGTAAAATTAAATTAAAATCACCCGAAAATATTTCAGGGTCCGAGCTTTTCAAGTCATCAAATCATTTTACCATTATACTTTCGCAACATGTTGCTACAGAGCATAATAGTTTTGTTCACCTAACGGTTGTCTGTAACACCTTAGACTAATCGAGATAGCTATTGGGTTATATACCAAACACAAGTGTAAATGATCAGGATGACAAACAGAGTTGAAATCAGGATGTCTGCCTCTCCGTCCGTCCATCTGTCTGTGCAAGCTGTAACTTGAGTAAAAACTGAGATATCCTAATGAAAGTTGGTACACGTATTTCTGGGAGAGGACGAGTTCGTATATAGGCATAATTGGATCACTGCTGCGCGCACAAACCGCCACTAACTAAAAACCTATAAATTACCACAACCAAGTCGATCGTAATAACAAGAGCCAATTGTGGAAAACTGACAAAAAGTGAGCATGGTCCCGCCCCCTAATAGGTGGACTGTATATATCCCCCACACCATTCAAGCTATATGATTCAAATTTGCAAAGGCCAAATCATTTCGACAGTTCTTGCGCCAGCGTGAAAATAGGTGAAATCCGATTTCACTCCCTATAAAATATTTTTGTTAAAATCTACTAAAAGTGCAAAAAATATATAACTAAATGCGCCAGATATATACAATTTTACACTCGAGATGATATAAAAAAGGCTTTTTGGAGCTGGTATGCAATTTGGACCGTGGCCGTGGCACCGTCCACTTTTGAGTGAAATTACATAAGTATCTCCGAACGTAATCTCAACCAAATTGGGTACCTAGAACTAATTTGACATTCCCATATTACAGTGAAATGCACTGCAACCCCGCCTACCTCCCGTATAACACAACTTTAAATTCCATCTGATATTTTTACTTTACAGTATACAAATCAATTAGAATATTGGGATAGGCATTTGCTCGAATGATTACCTTTACGTTCAACCGAAAATATCGATCAATGTTTGAGATATATTATTGGACTAATATATATTAAGAGAGCATCCTTTCTTCATAATAATATGTCTGTATGTAAAAAATTGGTTGAAGAGAGTCAATATTTCCCTTAGCTCCCATATATCAATAGAAATATTGATTCTCGAACTTCCGGTTGACTTTATACCGCATACATCGGCCAATAATCTTAATTAAATTGAGTGAGCGTATTGTTTTCTTAACAGTGCATCTCTGCACTTAAAATGGATAAAATCGGGTGAAAACTTGCACTAGCCTCCTAATAATATCAGATTTTTATCAGATTTTCAAACATCCGGTTGACTTTACTTCTTATATATTGTTGAAGGTATGTGATGGTCCTTAATGGAAAACAGAGGGCATCTGTTTTAACTAATAATATGTAGTAATGTTAAAACTCAATAAAATTACGCCAATCTCCCATATACCTAATAAAAGATTTTAATATTTCCGTATACCGTATATATGTAAGATATTTTAGCAAAATTTAGTGAATGTATAATATTTGATTTACCTTAATTTAATGAAAGTATGTGAAATTATATTATGCTACATACAAATAGTAATTTATTCTAGTATACCGCTGAATATGATTGGAGTGGAGGGTAAGCATTGGTCTTCATCTCATATCCCTAATATCATCAACTCAATATATTAAATATATAAAAATATTAAATTTAGCCTTTTTGGTTAAGTTTATGTCAGATATATCTTATTTGAAGATGATTTTAATATAATTTTTGATGACAGGCAGTAAAATATAGTTATAAAATTTATTGGGTCTATGTCCTATAATATAACATAATAAAATATCAAATTTGAGCGTAATTTTTATTCACGATTTCGTCGTATTATGAATGTTGAATTCTTTCGCCACAATTTTTTTTAAAAGAAGTCTTGCCAACATCTGAAGGTATACACAAGAATTTGATCCTTGAAAATTACAAGAGCATACAGTCGTTAAAGTCGAACTTAGCTTTTTCCTGACTTGTTTTAACAAAGTAGAGATGGGAACTCTAATAAAGTTGTCGAATTACGAAACGGGAACTGTTCGGCTATTTACCGCTTAGCTCAGTTAGGTATTATCGCTAAATATGTCTCTACAAGCCATCAACAACACAAAAACAAATCTAAAAATATATATAGCTATGGAGCAGAGACTAAATAGCTCTCAATCAAACGTTTTGCTGCAGTGTCACAAACAACTAAGGCAACAACAACAATAACAATGACATGCAATCTCACTACACTTTGAATTGAAATAGAAAAATGCACACGAGACTGGATTTGCGAACATTTAACTGTATGTATGTGTGAATGTGTTCCTCTTTTTAGAGTAAATAAGAGGAAACGATGCAATGTGGCGCCACACGACGGCGTTCAAAACGCCAAAAGCGAAGCGGAAGGAAGGCGCAACAAAGAGCAATAGAGACAACGAAACAAATCAAACGTGCAAATGGCGAAGCAAAGCAGCGACGGTAAAGAAGAAGAAGACTATAAAATAGTGATGGAAAGTAAGTAAAAACGCCAGCAACAACCACAACAAGCAACAAGAGAGCACATTTTGACACAGAAAAGCAAAAAGCAGTCGGCAATTGAATAAGACACAGCGTCGTCGCCGCCGCCGCCGGTGTAAAACAGCGAATGGCAACCACCAGAGGCCACACCCACTTTTACCACTAATGAATGGTGCCGAAGCCACCAAAGGCAGCACTCAGATGCAATGAAAAGAAAAACGGTGATGGAGCAAGTAGCGGCAAAAAATTTTGCACTAAAAAATTAAAGAAGGGGCCTAAACGGGGGTGTGAGCGCAACGCTTAGCCGTGTGTTTAAGCCAAATTGTGAGATAAACCACCGCTGAGCGCTCACACATGCCAGAGCACGCCAGACAGCAAGCGCATGTGTGCTTATGTACCGTTAGACAGCATGCTAGATCGCACAGATACGCCAGCGACAACGACACCCGTACACACGCGTCCACATACCAAGAGTCTGCTTTGGATTCGCACAAAAGAGCTGACAGCTAGCTTAGTTGGACATTCGACATTGCCAAATATATATGTCTCCACATAAACATATATATCTATATGTATGTGTGTGTGTGTGTATCTGCGGGGGTCACTAAGCTGGTGAATGCGGAAACTGCTGCTTTATTGCGCCGGCATTCAAGATGAATTTCTTTGCATTCTACGCTTTTATTTCGCCGCGTTTTTCACCCTGTGATTTGGGTTGGAATTTTTGCTGGTTGTTGCTGCTTTACTAGTGATATTCGCTTGTAGTGGCACGCGTGTGGCAGATATATAACTGTGTACGGGAAAATAAAGTGCCGCGCAATCAATGAAGATTGTAACTGGCAAGAATGCGCAAATGAATAAGGCAGTTTGAGTAGATGAATGAGTGTATGAATAAATGAGAGATTGGCATTGCGCCGGAGAATTGGTGGTTAGAAGAAATTTAGTGAAGAATATGTCGATTTAACTGAGTTAGTGCCAAAATGTGCTTTTATGCCAGTTTACATTAAATTCGCTGCTTAACTGTACACTGAAATATACCGTTTCAATTTGACTTGTGAGTTAACCATTATGTAATGGGGCTTAAGATCGGTGAATAACTTATCGATGGATACAATTTCTCATCGACAGACATTTTATTAGTGAACATACTTATACGTGATTTATTGACATGCATAAATTAGTTCAATATAAATCTTTATCACATAAGGGTGTACCTTTAACCTTCTAATGACTAAAAATTTTAGTTTGAAGATAAATAATGTCGGCAAGCTGCCGCCTAGCTCAATTATGTAGTAGTATACCGCATGAAAACAGCCAAGCTCCAACCTGTTCGCATTCTACCGGCAGCGACACTGAGATACTTAACCTTGCTCACTCATCAGCTTTACAGTGGCCTAGTTGGTACCCAAACAAACCTTATTCAGCAGTAATTTTAAGTTAAAACTTGCTACTATCGCCGTTCTACTATCAAAGTGGATAGTCGCTTCTCTAATGAAAACTGCCGGAGCAGTAGACCTACTGTTACCTTAAAGGCAGCAATTTAGCTTAGAAGGTTCACAAAAGTAGATGGTATAAAAGTAACTTTTGCTATTTTGACCAATTTTAACCTGATTTATTGCAAGGCACTATTTCTCTGCATATAATTTTAATCTTATAATTTTTTTTTCAATCTAGAAAAACGAATGTTTTGTCTTGAAATCCTCTAAAATGGTGTGCGTTGTTTGTTGCAGCAGCAGAAAGTTTTAAGCTTAAATAATGTTAAGGAATGCTGCAGGTTTGACCCTACCTTCTTGGGTATAAATACACATAACTAATATATCCATGATTATG